TGTCCCTATGGAATTGTCTGCTGAAGTCTTACAAGAATTGTGGTCAAAAAATATCTGGGCAGTTATTTCTGTGATTGCTGACTGAAAAAAAAAATAAATTAGAATCCTTATAGGAAAGATACAGCTTCTTTTCTTCTTCTTTGTAATGGTACTACAAGCAAAGGCCTTTGTTTCAGAAAATAGAATGGTTCACAGTTTCTAAGTTTCTGGTATCCTCCTTATTAACCTAAACTTAAACTTCATGGGAACATCAGTCTCAACCACATTATTTATGTTAATCCTTCTTCCTGATTTTAAAATTATGATTATCTAATGAGGACACAAGAGTACACCAGAAGCTGCATACGCTGCAGTTCTCATTTTGAAATCTGACCACTAGAGATTCCAGCAGTCTTTGCCCTGTTCATCAAAAAGATTTTTGAGAGAGTTCAAATAAAATACCTTGCTGGAAATCACAGTCCATTGTCAGAAGAAAAAGAGTAATCAATGAATTATGGTCTGTGAATTGCTCACTTATCTCTAAGATTCATATATTTTGTAATAATATGGTCTACACTTTGCTAAAATAAACCTGTGGTTCTTTGAGTTCTTTCTGGTATCTTGTATATGTGCATATAAAGCCCTTATGTCTCAGAGATTATGATGATAAGCAGAATACAGTCTGGCTCCACATGTGCAAGGAGTAAATATCTTTCCTCTCACGGAAAAATTTTGTCATTTTATGCTTTACCATGTCATAACAATTTAAAAACAGTACAAATGTCCTCAGTATGAAAGCACTGTCTGTATTCTAAGAAGAATATTATTTTACTGCTTTTTAAATTATTTTTTATAGCCTCAATCATTTATATTCTTCAGCAAATTTTCATCTAGTCAAATTTGGACTTAAGTGTCAGTTTGTATCTGCAACACATACTGTGGATCTTATTGGCTGCATAACACAGTGAGTTTCAATGAGTGAAGGCAATAAATCAGAAAACTTACATTTTTACAAACTCTATTCTTGTCCTTATGTATTCTTCTGATTAGAGTTGAGAAATTTCTGTCTATTTCTGTAAATCCTGTTTTCTAAAAAATCACTTAACTGACAATCCATTTGATGGGAAAGACATATTCCCTTAGCTGTGAAAGGAAATTAAAATTTGTCTCATAGAGTAGTGGTGAGGCAGAGAGAAAGGTTTGAGTTTCTTGCTCTGAAAATCTGGGAAAAGTCACAGGGGAAAAACACAGCACTGGGGGTGAAAACTTTGGATATACCATGATCAGGAAGGCCTGATACTTCAGAGAAAGAACCTGTTTCTGCCATTGCTCTGAAAACAGAATGTGGTTTGAAGCTGTACTGCTGTGGCATCAGGCACACATAATGTGGAAGGCAGAGATAAAACTTCTTGTATCTAAAAGGGTACATTATATATTATTTGGCTTAATTGCAGTGGAAGTAAATGAGATTTCTATTTTGAGTTATTATCTTGCATTAGACTATTAGTATCTGAGAGTGATTTATAGATCTAAATGAGTTAACCATCAGGCTAAGAAAGATCATTACTAAACTGTGTTTGTAGGCACGTTTTTGTGAGCCAAGGAAACTATGGCTTGCTCCTTGGTGAATGCTCCAGTTAAAAGCTAAAACAAAATCATGGAATCTGAAACCTTATGTTACTGGAAAGACCAGTAGCCCTTGAAGATGGACTTAGGAGAATGGGAATTTTAGAGGCTTGCTTGACAGCAGTTGTCACTGTATCACTCCCAACTGGAATGTAATCGAGTGATTTGTCTCCACTGAAATTGTTTCTGAAAAACCATAAAGCACCTGAGTTCATTATAGCCCACTGAAAAAGGAATTTGTCATGTGAAGTTTACTGGTGGGTGTTTTTTTTTCTGTTTTGGATGGTTTTACATCTTTTGAGGTCTAGGGGACAGTATAGGTGGCATACATGTGGTCTCTGTGGGACTCTTGCAGGACTTCAAGGTTACACTTCTTTTCATTGAAGGTAAGCCCTTTTGGGTGTGAAGTTACTGTTGGTTTACAGCCCTACCTTGCTCTGTATCTGAGATGGGGAACAGTTAGAGACCTTGTGAATGTTTCTCAGTTACCCATCTCCCTCACAACTCCAGCATAAGAAATGGTCACAGAGGCAGGTGAAACCGACTTAATCTCTTCAGAAGACTGAATGGCATTATTGAATCTGATACCTGAGAACTGCTTAATGACTCATATGGAGTTCCAGAAATGGGAGGTCTTTTAATTCTTTATAATGATGCTCTCTTTGCTTAACTGGATATTGAAAATACCTAATGTATGCTTTTGTTGGGAGCTCTAACTTCTTCTGCCTTTGTGTAACAATAACTACAACCCTGGAGCCTTGCCTTAATCTGAGAAGGTTTTGAAGAATGCCAGAATTAAAGAGAAAACAACTTGTCCCCAGAATTTGGGATACTGTCTTTAATGGGAATTTGATTAGATGTTTATTAAAATAAATATGTTGCATTAGATGTTTATTAAATTAATAGGTTGCAGGCGTACCTGGAGGCTCTACTCCCAACTTGGATAAAAGGCAGTCACTGTCAGTAGAGTGTGTAAGATTTGAAACATAGGTATTCAGTAAATCTTAATCCTTGAGCTGGAAGGAATATATTTAAAAGGGAGAGGGTTATTCTGTCTCTGAAACTGTTTAAGCACCAGACAGCAATTCAGCTTTCCTTTTCATGCAATTTCCTGAGTCCATAAACTCCTGTAATTCACAAAATAAAATGTCAGGAGTCCCTTTTAAGTTTTTTTCCATGAATTTCAGATGCTGACTGCTCTTTGAAAATTATTAAAACCAGTTCTGTTAAGTGTAATTTGTCATTGAGGGAGGGATTGCTTGCAATTCCCTAGTGATGCTGGTGATCATATTACCTCATATCTGCAGCATACCAGCCCTGAAATGGTCATGAAGTCAGAAAGTCTTGCATCCTTTTTTGTAAGCCTAGTAATTAGATACAGCTTTCCTATTCTGAGATCTTGGCAAAGTATTTCTGAAAGGCAAACTGCAATGCTTTTTAGTCATTCATAATTACTATGCTATGACTCTACAGGATTCTAGTGTATTTCTTAAAATAATAAACAAGATGGAAATCTTTCTCAGAATGCTGCTAGATTTGGGACCATTAGACACATAAAATTGCCATTTTAGGCTTTTTCCTAATATACTGACCAATTTGATGGCCTTCCATAATGACGCTACAGTACTGATGGACAGGGGTAGAGTAGCTGCCGTCATCTACCTGGACTTGCGCAAAGCATTTGACACTGTCCCGCATGACATCCTTGTCTTTAAATTGGGGAGACATCAATTTGATGGATGGACCACTCGGTGGATAAAGAACTGGCTGGCTGGCTGCACGCAAAGAGTTGTGGTCAATGGCTCAGTGTCCAGCTGGAGACCAGTAACGAGTGGCATCCCTCAGGGACTGGTGTTGGGACCGGTCTTGTTTAACATCTTTGTCGGTAACATGGACTGTGGGACTGAGTGCACCCTCAGTGACTTTGCTAATGACACCAAGCTGTGTGGTTCAGTTGACATGCTGGAGGGAAGGAATGCCATCCAGAAGAACTCTGACACACCTGTGAGGTGGGCTGATGCCAACCTTACGAAGTTTAATCATACCAACTGCAAGGTCCTGCACTTGAGTCAGGGCAATCCCAAGCACAGCTACAGGCTGGGCAGAGAAGAGATTCAGAGCAGCCCTGTGGAGAAGGACTTGGGGGTGTTGGTTGAGGAAAAGCTTAACATGAGGTGGCTTCAGTGTGCACTCGCAGCCCAGAAAGCCAACCATATTCTGGGCTGCATCAAAATGAGCATGGTGAGCAGGTCAAAGGAGGTGATCCTGCCCCTCTACTCTGCTCTCGTGAGACCTCACCTGGAGTGTCGTGTGCAGTTCTGGTGTCCTCAACATGGAACTCTTGGAACAAGTCCAGAGGAGGGCCACGAGGATGATCAGGGGACTGGAGCACCTCTCATATGAAGACAGGCTGAGAAAGTTGGGGCTGTTCAGACTGGAGAAGGCTGCATGGAGACCTCCTAGCAGCCTTCCAGTATCTGAAGGGGGCTATAGGGATGCTGGGGAGGGACTCTTCATTAGGGACTGTAGTGATAGGACAAGGGGTAACGGGTTAAAACTTAAACAGGGGAAGTTTAGGTTGGATATAAGAAGGAAATTCTTTCCTGTAAGGGTGGTGAGGCACTGGAATGTGTTGCCCAAAGAAGCTGTGAATGCTCCATCCCTGGCAGTGTTCAAGGCCAGGTTGGATGAAGCCTTGGGTGACATTGTTTAGTGTGAGGTGTCCCTGCCCATGGCAGTGTGTTTGGAACTTGATGATCTTAAGGTCCTTTCCAACACTAACTATTCCATGATTCTATGATTCTACTTCACGTTTTCCCTATTAAAAGAATAGATACACTCAGCACAGCTGTGTATAAATGCTATTTTATTCAAGATATACAAGCATTTATATTACGGTGATGCTTTCCCATCTTCTGATAAAGACTAACTAAGCTCTACTTCTTTTCTTCCAGGATGTTTTGTCACCAAGACTTTGAAAAAGTAGGAGCTGTACAAGTCCTAGTACAGGAACCCTGCGGTCTTGAGAGGCTATGGGCCTAATTTTTGGGCTGGCCAGTGTCCCGGATAATTCAACAGTATTCTGGAAGATCTAATTATATATACAAAATACTTTATTGTCTCCTAATGAATACAGGTCTTTCTGGGGTAGGTACAGCAGGACTGTAATAACAGACAATATTGTTAGAGATGGATAACAGAGTAACCGCTTTTTAGTCTAATGCCATCAGTTAGATCACAAACAGAAGTTTTCAGATTTATTTGAAAACCCAGTAAATATGAGAACAAATATAGATGCAACTGCTGAGTTTATTTAAAGTTATGTGAAGTCATGTTAAAAATCCATCAGTTATACCATTTTAATTTACCTCCAACTGTGGAACGTGAGAAGCTTTGCTACATTCTAAAAGTTAAAAATCCAGACCTCACAGCCTTTGACAGAATATGCCTGTTTCTTGTGTATTCATAATATGCAAAGGGATCTTGCATTTTTATATGCAGGAAGCACTTTGAGGACAGTCTCCTGGGATCTAGAATATTACAGTAAATTTCAGTTTCACTTTGATATTTCATTTCATGACAGCCACAACAAATAAGGTAGCTCTCCTTTTCGAAGAGGAGAGCCAATTACCAGGAACAGATGTGGTTTTTTGTAGTGCTTCTTCCAAGCATGATTTTGAATAGCACTGTCATTAGCCTTTCAGAAACTTTCTCCTGTTTTTGTGAATCACCTCTGGCATTGTGTTCTATAATCTTATTGTAGCTCAGCATGCCTTTGGCCAAAACTGATGCTGGAGCCTCTTGTTCACCTTGATTACAGTTGCTATTATTATTTTTAATGTGTAATCACTGCTGGAGAAACTTAGTTTCTTTATTGTTCCCTCCTATGGTTAAACCTTTCTGATGAAATCCAGACTTCCATCTGTCATGGGCTAGTGTAGCTTCATTAAAGTCAGTGTTGATTTATACTAGAAAGGGGAACCTTGATCACAAAATTATTGGAAGTTCATATTGATTCATTTTTTAATGTTTTAGTAAGGTCCATTTAGGTTTTTTGTTGTTGATGTTTTATGCATCAGAAATAATGCAAAGAATTAATTTGTCAGTCACCTCCCTCATCCCTTCGTAGGTTAAGTACCACCATGGTATTCCATATATATATATGCGTTTTAGCTGTAGATGAATATGGTAGATTCTTGACTAATAAGAATTGTGCAATTGGCACAACTTGCAGTTGCTTTTCTTCCTGATTAGAGACATATTTCTGTATCCCATTTTACCCTTCTGAAACTGGAGACACTGTAATCACCACAGCCAGTGCAAGAGAGTGATTTTATAAATTTGGGTTGTTTTGGGGTTTTATTTTTTTATAAATGCACCAGGTCTACAAATACAGTGTGCCACAAATGCAAAAGTAATGTTTATTGTTAAGATTTAAAAAAAAAAGTAACCTTCTCTGTTTCTGCAAGATTCAGAGTCTACTTCATGTTGATGTTCAGGTATGGGCATTGCTAAATTTGTAACTTCTGGCAGGAGAGTAGTTTTACTCATGTGAATCGAACAATTCTCCTATGAGACAGTTTAGCAACTCTTTAGTCAAAATACATGCAGTTGAAGTACTATTCATAGAGTACTTTGCTAAAGAACTGTTTTCATTTGACTGCTCTGTTACATGAACATGAGAAAAACAGAATGTTGTGTGAGAAGGTGTTCAAAATTACATTTATGAAGGCCTCTAAATCTGGCAAAACATGAATGATTTCCCTAGAAATAAGAGTAACATTTAAGCAATTTGGTTAAAGGTTTATCAGGACAGTTTATATTTTGTGATTAAGAAGGACTTCATATTTGGTTAGAAATCTTCACATTTAAGTGTGTTTGGCTGTTACTAAAAAAAAAAACAAAAAACAAACCTGTTATTTTCTGCTCCCTCCCTTCTCATTTTCACTTCCAAGTTTTACACGTTCTGAAAATGAAACACTGTTCAAGCTTTCCTATTTTGACAGGATGTTTTTAATGCTTTGCCTGATATTATTGACTGTCTTTTTAATAACCTATAAACATTTATTTGTTAAAATCTGATTTTCCACGGTTTTGTAATATTACAAAAATTACAGTTGCACCATAGAGCACTTGATACATTTGATCTACTCAAAGTATCTAACCAACTCTTCTACAATTCAGTAATGTGTAAGTGTACTATACCAATATTTTGAAGGGCTTAGCTGATGAAATAAGAAATATAACAATATTATTGTGACAGCAAAAATAGGACTTTTTCAATATGACATTAACTGTATTAATATTTTACTTGCTAAAGCATGTTGCAGCAGGAATTTGCCTTCTAAAAATTATATCAGAACAGAGGGGTTTGTATGTGTGTATGAGTGAATTTTTGTAATTAACTGGCACTTCATTAAAACTAAACTTTATTTATATCTAGACATACCTAATGCTAACCAGAAATTCAGCAATTATCACTAGAAATATTAGTCACGTTTTGAAGATAGAAAAATAATAATGGAAATATAATTTCTCCTGTTGATTAAAATTTAATGAAGCATCTAATATAGCCTCTTGCACTTTATTTTACATTTTAGCAAATGGCTTTAAGAAGTCTAATCAAAGTTCATGTGCCTGCAGTCATGGCTGCATCCTTCTTTTCTAGCCAGTGGAGCACTACAGCATCAAATACTTACCCGTGATCTCTGTTTCTGTTTGGGGCTCCTACAATATCATTAGGAACATTCAACCTAGAATGAAAGTAAGATTTGCAAAACAGATTTACATCTTGTAAATGACATTTTTTCCCTAAGTGACTTAACCTTCAGGAAGCCCAGTAATTCATAGATGTCACTTCTGAGTTGGCTTTATTCCAAAGGGGAAAGGAAAATATGACTACTGCAGCACCATCTATCAATCAGATCTGAATCCCTGTAATATGTTGCAGATTAGATCACAAGTTCTTTCTCTAGCCAATTAATTTGTGTGCAAGCCTAGATGTAATTCAACTTTAGAAAGGTTTTAAAAATGGAAGTCATTAGCAGTGATACAGAATATTTTTTTTTAATAATTAGGTCCTGTGTGGAAAACCTCCTCTCATTCTAATTAATTGTTTTCATTTGTTGTGAAGTATTTTAGTGACTTTTAAAGCAATGAAATCTACAAAACTTAGTACAGCTACTTACGGCCAGGCAGATGAAGAATTTGAAGTACAGTGCATGAGCGAATTATCTTAGAAGCACATGTGCATACACAAATATACACACAATACTGATTGGCTTTGAAATTTTATATTCTTTAAATTCAGAATTCTGAAGTTCAGTGAGAGAATATAAGTAAGTGAAATCTCTCTTGACCAAAATGTGTTGTGTTTGTTCTCCAGAGATCCTATGGCTTCCAGCAGTTTCATGCCCCAGCTGACTGGATTTTAATTAGCACAAACACAGCATATCTGGCATATGCATTTGAAAAGACCAAAGTAGACACGAGCAAATAAGAGACACAATGGCTTATGGATCTTGGATATTTCAGGAGGTGGTTGAAGAGAAGGAAGCACTTCACTTGTGATCTAGTCCTTTCTTTTTTTTTTTTCCCAAAAGCTCACTGCCTGAGCCATACTTTAAAATACTTCATTGACATTAGACCTGAGTAGGAATATTGTGCTGCTTTTTTTATGCAGCTGAGATATGTGGCTGTAATTAGACTAGTGATGCAGTAATGGTTGGCAGCTGTCTGCATAGGCTCTGCAAGGTCTTTTTGTGCTGCTTATCTCTATCACACCTTAAATATTTCCATTACTTTGCTTAGAAAAGTAGAAAACAAGAGGAGTAAACTTCACTGCACACAAAGTTGGTAATTTTATATCCTCCGTCTGTTCTGCCTTGGTGCTATTTCCATGGCTGAGTAAGAGAATGGAGCATCTTAAGTTTAAGAATATGAACTGTAAAATTACATATGAGGAATAAATACTGAGGAAGAGGAACTACTTAAGTGATAATATTGGCTTAAAGGTTTCTGTTACCTATCTATGATGGAAATGAAAGGAAAAATGATTTATATATCACTCACTGATTCATCATTTGATCACAAAGATTTTTATGTTAATTTTCTGCCTTTGAAAATCATTGTTCACTTCCAGGACTGTAGAGCCCTTGTGTCTGCCAACATGTCAGCTTGCACAGGCTCAGCAAACTGACCTAAATTTGAAGGCAGAAATGTCTGCCCCGGAAAATTAGGTATTAACAGTAGTCATGTTTCTATTTGGGTTTGTGACATGTTTTGCAGTTTAGGGCATGAGACTGCTGTGGTTTAAGCCCAGCCAGTAACTCAGAACCACGAAGCCAATGTTATCCCAATGTTAGAAAGTTCCACCACTCATTGCTGTCAGTGTAGTTTTTAACAGCCTATCATACCATTCGATTTTCTCAGAGGCTGGTGCATGGTAGGGGACGTGATATACCCACTGCCATGCTCTTTGGCCCAAGGTTGTTCAAGAAATGAGTCCCATTGTCTTGACTCAATTCTCTCTGGGGTGCCGTGTTGCCACGAAATCTGTTTCTCAAGGCCCAGGATAGTGTTCCGGGCAGTGGCGTGGAGCACAGCATATGTTTCCAGCCATCCGGTGGTTGCTTCCACCATGATAAGCACATGGCGCTTGCCTTGGCAGGTTGGTGGTAGTGTGATATAGTCAATCTGCCAGGCCTCCTCATATTTGTACTTCAGCCATTCGTCCTCCATATCAGAGGCTTTAACCATTTAGCTTGCTTAATTGCAGCACATGTTTCACAGTTGTAAATAACCTGGGCAATAGTGTCCATTGTTAAGTCCACCTCTCGATCAAGGGCCCATCTGTATGTTGCATCTCTGCCCTGATGGCCTGAAGTGTCATGGGCCCACCGGGCCAAAAATAATTCACCTTTATGTTGCCAATCTAAGTCCATCTGAGCCACTTCAATCTTAGCCGCTTTATCCACTTGTTGGTTGTTCTGGTGTTTCTCAGTGGCCCGACTCTTGGGTACATGGGCATCTACATGACGTTCCTTCACCACCAGGTTCTGCACCCAGGCAGCAATATCTTTCCACAGTGCAGCAGCCCAGATGGGTTTACCTCTGCGTTGCCAGTTGCTCTGTTTCTATTGCTGCAACCACCCCCACAGGGCATTTGCCACCATCCATGAGTCAGTATAGAGATAAAGTACTGGCCACTTTTCTCGTTCAGCAATGTCCAGGGCCAGCTGGATGGCTTTCACCTCGGCAAACTGACTCGATTCACCCTCTCCTTCAGCAGTTTCTGTAACTTGTCATCCAGGACTCCATACAGCTGCCTTCCATCTCCGATGCTTTCCCACAATACGGCAAGACCCATCAGTAAACACGGCATACTGCTTTTCACTTTCTGACAGTTTATTATATGGTGGGGCCTCTTCAGCACACAACAGCTCCTCCTCTGGTGACATTCCGAAACCTTTGCCCTCTGGCCAGACCATGATGACGTCTAGAATGCCTGGAAGACGGGTATTTCCTATTCGAGCTCATTGTATCTGTACTGATGATCCCAGAGCACTTACCACATAGGTTCACGCTTTTATCTTTTTTCTTTTTCAAGGTACATAGGTCAGGGTTAATAAGCAGAACACCCAGCACCGCTGGGCTGGGCAGGTTACCTAGTTCGGATGGGGCTCAGTGGTACAAAGAGGCTGCTGCCACAGCCCCAGCTTTCCCTGCACGGTCGCTCCTCGCACGGGCTGCTCTATTACCAGCAGCCCGTACGGGACGTAACCCCTTAACCCTCTCAGGCGCTGCCCCACCCGCAGCCGTGGTGCCCCGCCCCGCAGCGTGCAGCGTTCCGATTGGCTCTGTCGCCCCTGTGGAGCGGCAGCGGGTACGTGACTAGCTCTGCCGCGGGCAGTGGCTGTCGGCCCCACAGGATGGCGCCTCAAGGGGTACAAGCTGGGGGCAGCTGTCCCGAAGCAGCAACAAAGCGAATTTCAATTGCCCAAGGGTTTTGTTATCTCATTCTGGAGTTCTTATTGTCCAGCAAACGGCTCACCAAAGTAGAGTTCAGATTCAGTTTCAGCTCGTGCTTTTCCTTTCGACAGATTTTGATTAATTTTCTTCCTCCAGTAAATTGATTAACTTTGATACAGAAGAGCAAAAGCAAATACAATCTTTCCGTACACATTTGGCACTAGGTTTAAAGGTATCTGTGCTCAAGCAGCTGAAGAGGAACAAGAAATAATTCTCTTTATGCTATTTCACCAAGACATTGTGTAATAGAAGTTTTCTCCCAGGAGCGAATTAGCTGATAAAGGGACAAGGCCATAGTTCACATGGGGAGTGTGCATAATGGAGCTGCCACCTAAAGGTACACTGAAAAAGCACTTAGGAATCAGGTTTTTATGAGTGCTTTTCTTGTGTAATGTGAATCAGCACTGTTTCCTGTACAGTAGTGTCATATGAAGCTAAAGTTCAACTCTGAAGATCAGAGAATTGTGGATTCAGTGTTTTCTTCATCAAAAGATCTTTCTCATGGGCTGTAATTTTCTCCTAGGGATATGTAATGCCAGCCTAATGTCTGCAGGAAGGGGCACTGTGCTTCCAGTATTTTGTCAACTCACCTGGCCAGAAAACCTAAGACAATAAGGACTTCTCCCTGGCTAAATATCCTGTGCATTGTCTTCCTGACACACTGTATCTTAGAGATGTTTATACCGTAAAGATCATAACTTCTTGTTATTGAAAAGCTGGTGGAATGGATTGAGAAACTCTGTGCACGAAAAACCAAAATCCAGTGCAAAAGTTAATGATCTGAATCCTTACTATTTCAAAAAGGCACCTGCCAGAAGTATCCTCTTCACTCATTATTCTGTGTTTTCAAAAGTGAATCCCTAGCAATCCTAATTAGAGGTGAAATGGAAATGAGAGGTTTTGTGAATAAATTGCACAGAAAATTAAATTTCATTATATGCAGATGTAATATGCATTGCTGCTGGCAATTTAATGCTGTTAAGGTAAGATTTCCTCTCAGGGACAGTCCCATACTCCCACTATACTCACTGTCTTTGATATCCATCTTTACACCATTCATCCTATTTTAGCCTCCTACACAGTTCCTTCTTCCAGTCATGGTTACCTTTTTTATCTGAGAGAGAGGGAGAGGGGGTGCATTTCTCAGCATAACTTTATGCTTCATTAGCAATAACATGCTAAAATCTATCAGCCTTCAGTTAGTCAGTTCAGCATGTGTTTAGCTAGCCTGGCACCTGAAGATATCTCTTCCTCCTCCCTTGATATTGTTAATTATGCCTTCTCTTTTTCATCAGTTCATTAATATACCTTACCATGAATTGTTTTCATTCATTTTTATAGGGAGGCTGTGAACGTATCTGTAACACTCTGGCAATTATAGAAATGAAAGTAATTAAAACAAATAATTTTGTTACATGTTAATTTGTAACACATAACTCATCCTTTTCTCATCAGAATGGAATTCACAATTATTTGCAGGAAAGCTTGCGGAATATTTACTTTGCGAAATGTGTCTTGAAGATTGAAAAAGTCAAGCTGACCCTTCTAATATCTAAACACATGTTGAATGTAAATATTTGGGAAAGAATCGAGCTACTCAACCACTCCACTGTTTATAGAAGGAAAGTTGTTTTTTTTTTCCTATGTTCTCAATGATCTTGAACTGAAAAGAACAATGGATTCTGTTCCTGAAGTAGGATTGTGCATTCATTTAGATCATCTAACACTTTCTTTATTTCTGTTATCAGCTGTCCCATCCACTATGTACAAATGTTCAAACATTAAAGCATCATACCATTTCAGGTGTTTGTGCATTAAGCTCAATCAGGTTTAAAAGATCTAAGTCCATATATGATAGTAAATTATTAATACTGACACCCCAAATTACCTTATTATGAATTACAAAATGTATGAAGAAACGTTTTCAATGTAAATTTACATCACTAAGTCTTATGCTAGTGATTCTTAAAGGATCACTGACATAAGTGATCCTTTAAGGGAGGATTAATTCCTTGAAGGAAGGATTGATTATTTCACAGTTAAGCCACTCTCAGTTTTCTTGTTTCTTCTCTCAAATTTCCTGAACTTCAAAAGACTAAAATAAATTAACAAAATAAAACAAATAAAATACATCCCAATCCCTTGAGTTGCTTAAGAAGTCATCTCACAATATATTGTACATGTGACTGGAGAATGGCATCGACTTTTGGCCTGAAAATTATTGATACGTTTTCTTTTTTTTTTTTAAGAAGTAAGTCCTAAGGCTGTTCCTGTAAGAATATAATTAATGACATTAATGATCTCCCCACTCCACTAATTTCCCTTTCAATAGAAGCTACTGCCGTCTCTAATTTCTTTAGCCATAATAAAGTTCTTGCTATAACCACCTGTTTCTCCAGGTGAACTAATAATTTAGCATAGTCACCAAATTAGAAACTTTGCTAAGGTCAGAATAAATGGCACTGCAGCACTTTATTTAGTAAACCAGCCACCATTAAAGATGTACTTTCATAAACTGGTGGACAATTTTATCTCACCTTTTTTTAACATAAAAAACTATAAAGCTGGCCATTCTTTTGAGGTCAAGCTTAAAAACCCACAGCTGGCTGGATCATGCTTTCTTCTTTCTGTAAATAGATAAATTCATTATTTTTATTAAAAATTCTTGTTATAAAATCTACAGGTTTATGTTGTAATTCTCTGGACCTTTGAACATGGTTTAGAAACAAAAAGACCTTGATGCTGTGCAAGTGCTGCTCAGCCATAACTGAAATAACCCTTATTACCACAACTATGTTTTGGTCACAAACCTAAAAGATAAGACCACACAGCTACTGTGAAGGAAATAAACTCCATCCCAGCCATACTTGGGACAGACCAATTTTCTTCTCTCACAATTCATTCTAAACTAAATCAACACAGCTTTTTGAATTATTCTTATGCAGCAAGCATTTTTATAGTCTGTCTACATTATCAAAACCCTTCACGGTGATAATTTGCTATGGCAAAACCCACACATCGTTACATGGACATCAGACTACTGTAAGATTAATGGCATGTCAGTCTTACTCACATAATCTAGCAAACAGAATCCACCTTAGGTTTCTACAGAAGATAAAAATAAAATCTCTTATTAAGAAAATAAAACTTAAGAAATAGAATTGCATGTAAACTAACATTTCTAACTTTCATTTCAAAATTTAATGCCCCAAAGCAGAGCCCAGACTCAAGGAGTATTAAAGTTTAACAAAATATGGATTTTTTGAGGAGTAGCTAATTACCCCAGTTGCAACTGGTGGGAACTGTGGATAACAAGGACTCTGAAAATTGAATCATTTGGGGGGATTCTGCTCCTTCCCTTTGTCCTAACATCTGACTGAATATTCTAATGACATCCCTTGCAATAATATGGAATGCTTTCATAAATTTGCACGTATTATGCATATACACACACAGATTATAATCCTAAATTTGGGAGAACACTGAAAAGCTTTCAAAAGAGTATTTAGTATTGTTGACACTTATGAAGAGTTTGGGCATTACTTCATCAGTTTCAGAAGGATCTCTCTTGTAACCGTAGCACACTGGGAGTTCAAAGACACCTTCATTATTTACCAGTTAACAGCATAGTTTCAAGAGGCTCTGGTGGAGATTATTACATCTGACATTTGTACAATTCTTTTAGAAGTTCCCATTAACATACTTTTGCTAAGTAAGTGACCTGCAGCACTATGGGTAGGATACGCTGAGACTGTGCTGGAGGTGACTGCCTTAAAAATGGTCCATTTTGGGGTACATCCTTGGTTAGACTGAAGGCTTTTGCAGAAAAAAATTCTGGGTCCAGTCCAAGGAATATCTAGTCTTAGAAGCAAAGGGGGGAAAACAGGAATGGAAGAGCATCATGTGAACCCGTCTACTGCTGTGATTCCAAGTCAGAGCATGGCAATTTCATTCTTGATTTCTCTCTCCTCCTGAAAATGTGATGTTGCACTCCTTGAAAAAATAAGACAATACATGGACTCCATAATAAGGATGAAGTCTAACAGCTTTAAATGGATATTAAAAAAATCTATGTAGGCATCAGTGTGAAAAAAAAAAAAGATTCTTTGATATGTCATCTTTCTATTTTAACAATTAAAATGGCTTTTGAAGCTCTTAGGCATATAATTTAAACCCATAAGGTATAAAATTGTGCCATACCTTGCAGATAGTCCCATATTTAGCACAAACGAGGTCATAAGGATCAACAGCCTTAGGAAAAAAAAATGGTGATTTCAATTTTCAAATACATAAACTTAATTCTCTTCATTTAGGAGCTTGCCAAAACTAAGACATACAATTGTCCTTCAGCTGCATAATCAGAGATTCCTTGGTATTAACATCTTTGTGCAAAAATAGAAGCTGAGAGATAAAGTAACTATTTTTTTATGTGAAAAAAAAAAATTAACAGGAACATCTGTCCTGAAAGAGCTCTAATATGGTGTCTGAAGGATTCCCCACCAGAAGTATTTTGCTATTGAAAAAGGTGGTATTCTAGCCTTATTCATAATTACTCTGATACCTCTGCACTCAAATGACATCTGCTCATATGTCTTAAAATACATGAGAACTCAGAATGTATGATGTTAACATTTTCATTTGAGCATTACAATTTAGAGGAAGTTAACAGAGTGGGCCATGATGATTTAAAAAACACAACAAAACAACATAAAAACATTAGACTTACAAAGTTGCATCAGGAATTACACTGCATCTATATTGTGAAATTGTAAATTGTCCTGGGTTCAGCAGTAGCAATCATTTTTCTCCTTCTTAGTAGCTTGTGCAGTGCTGTGGTTTTGACTTTCAGCCTGGGAACAACACTGATAACATCAATGTTTTTAGTTGCTGCTCAGAAGTATTTACTCTGACCAAGGACTTTGTGAGTCTCATGCTCTGCCAGGGAGGAGGGGAAGCTGGGAGGAGGCAGAGACAGGACACCTGACCCAAACTATCCAAAGAGGTATTCCATACCACAGCACGTCATGCCCAGGATGTAAACTGGGGGCAGTTACCCAGAAGGGCTAGATCACTGCTTGGGTTGGGCTGGGTATCGGTCGGCTTGTGGTGAGTGGTTGTATTCTCTTCCCTTGTTATTTCCCTTAGCATTATTATTATTGGTGGTAGCAGGAGTGTTTTGTGTTATGCCTTAGTTATTGGACTGTTCTTATCTTAGCCCGTGGGAGTTACATTCTTTTGATTCTCCTCCCCATCCCTCGGGGGGGGGGGGGGGGCAGGGGCGGGGGGCAGGGGAACGACACGACACGAAAGAGGGGGAGTGATCGAGTGGCTATGTGGTTCTGAGTTACTGGCTGGGCTTAAACTACGACATAAATGCAATTATTCCAGTTGTACACAGTAATCTTTGGGAATACTTACTCGTAAAACTTTTGGGGTCTAAGTTTCCTAAAAAGGTATAATATCAAATTGTTGAATGCATTTTGACAGCATATTTTAGTAGCAATTACCAAGTATCATTGCTAGCTAACATCATTCTATCATTTCCTTTAGATAAAGTTTTGTGTTGTAAACCACACAAAAAAAAAGAAGTATCTTGGTGTCCTTGCTACATACAGAATGAGAGTTTCAATAGAAAAGGAGAAAAAAATATGAAACTATACTTTGTTTATACGTATGTTGTTGGTTCACATGCACACACACACGTAGATGCAAATCAACTTCGATTCACAACTATTGTACTATACAGCGTTGTATTTTACAGGTGGTAGCAGCAATGTACTAAATAAGATTTAGCTAACAGGTGCTCTGTAGGCTGTGGACAATTACATCATAAAAATGTATTACAGTGCTCACTCTTGGGAGTAAAGACTTTTGCTGTACTAGTGAAATGTTTTATATGAAGTGGAATTTCTAATGGACTTCAACAGTGCTGCTGGTTTGAATGCATGGTGATATATCGGGGGTAGTGCCACAGAAGAAAACCTCATAGAAAGGAGGTAATTTATGTAGTAAAAATGCTTACACTTTCCACTGCATACATTTAGAACAATAATTCAATTGGACAACTTTTTCCAGTTTGCATTTGCAGTAAGCATTTCTAACGGTTAACATTGTGGATTGTTGTTTTTGTTTTGTTTTTTTTTTTATTGTGTAGTTTCATTATCCACTTGTACTTCTGAAAAAATGAGAAAATGGAGGAACACACAGAGCTGTCAGATTTAAATGGCTCTTAGAGAAGTACTTCAACTCAAAAATGATCAAGAGCAAATTGTTGATAAAACCTTTGCTTTCACCACGTTCACTAACAAGTACTATTAGTAAATGAGTCATGTAGAACCACTTAAACTTAATCCTGGAAAGGAGGGGAAGAATTTCCTTGCAAGTTCATCTTTGATTAAGAGCTCTCTTTTTAGCCAAGAACCACAGAGGTTGTTTTTTTTCTTTTGCTTGTTTTTAAACCAACTGCTATGGACGTGTAACATGATATTTTCATGAGATCGGCAGCATTAGTTCCTTTCCTAAGATTTATTCTCTTCAGCAAGAATTTTAAATACCTAACTTTTTTTATATTCTCCACTTCTAAAAATACACAAAATTTCTTTGAAGTGATTCATTTTAGCAGGAATAATTGCATTTTCCTTGCTTTTCAATTGTGTCATACTTTGTACGTTGGTGCATTAAATCTTAAGATTGATCTTAAAAGTTAGGTCTTGTGTCAAAAAGCAACTCAAAACCATCTTCTCAGTACATCTCAATGGAATTATCTCCTTTGTTGAAATGTTACTATAGCTAAGGTCGTGTGCTCTGTCCCCCTCTAATCCTCTGCTTATTGCACATACTTTGTGTCAGTTTTTTCCTTACTTAGATCTATCTCATCCTTTGTGTTCATTCATAATTATTATTACACCTAATGCTTAGCTGATTATTATAATACAAAAGTAGTATAATATATGATTTTTAGAAACAAAACTTAAAGGTCAGGGATTCAAGATGAGCTGTAAAAGAAAACCAGTGGTGGTAGCCCTCCATCTAGTCTCTAACACTGCAACACCAACAACAAACCAGAAATCCTCAAACTTCCAAGTGTGACATACCTCTCCATAGAAGACTTGTCAGTTGAAATATTAATATTCTTTTTATCCATCACAGAACATCTATTTGGCATTTGATATCCACTATCAGCTTAAATAGTTTGACAAAATAAAAAGGGGTAATGGCAGGTAGAAACGATGCAGGACACCAGCCTAAGATGGCAGAGTCTCCTTGTCCCAGCACTCCTTTTCATGCATTATCACTCCTAGTAGAGCTTAACCAGAACTGTTAGAAGCCATCATTTAAGCATATTTTCAATTATGTGCAGAGAATTCTTATCTGTTTTAATAAAACCTGTTTTGTTTTCTTTTATTTTTTCTCATGCCTATGTATTTCTAGTAAGTTTCACCTGTCTTGAGGCTCTCCTTTCAGCTATCCTCACTAGCTGCATGGCTTGAATGTAGCAGGAGAAATCCAGCCATCAACTGAAATTATCATTTACAGCTTGCTTTCATTTAGGAGTCACTCAAGTACCTAGCAGCTACAGTTACAATGAGCTGGAGCTTCCTGCTTCAGCTGATGTTTTGGCAAGTGCTTTCTCTGAAATGGCATAATCATAGTATTTCAGACAAGGTTTGAATCCGCAAAGGGTTATCTTGATTTATAAACCATTTACTCCCATGTAATAGTTTGCAGTGTTCCAACTATTTCTTGATTAGTTAATGAGAATCATGTTCAAGAAGAATTACTTTAGTGTTCTTCAGGTGTCTTGTTTTGCAGAATTTATTTGCTTAGTTTTATTGCCTGCATAAGAATCTCAGCATACCACTTTATAAAAAAATCCCAAGTTTAAAATCTGTGTCTGCAGGGTAGGTGGCAACACAGATGTTGCTACTTCAGTACAGAATTAATTTGATTTTATAATCTATTTTCTATTTCTATTTTCTAAAGATAGCTCTTGTGGCACTAAAAACCTGGATTAATATCATGGAAGTATTTGATTAGCAGCAACTGAAAACCTGTCCAGTCATTTGGAAAGGAGTGAATCAATGGTCACAGGAACATTATAAGCACAAAGGTGTTACAAGCTGGAGGAAAACAACACAGCATTCCACAGTGTTACAGTATTTTATGTACTTTTGTATCTTCCTAATAGTTTTTTTTTAATTTGCCATTACTCTCTTCATTCCCTTTATTAGCAAATTTCAATTCCTTATCACTATTTAATGCTTACTGTAATAAAAAAGTAATTTTGAGAAGAGAATAAATATAGAAAACATTGAAGTTGCAGAAATCTGAAAAAAAAAAAGCTGTTATATAGTTTTAATTACATTTTCTCTCTGATGCTTTTTCTATGACATCTTGAATCTTCTTGTGAGAGCTGGATATATTTTTCTGATGAAGTACTGGCTTGTTAAGTATTAAATAATCTTTTCTTTTCAATTTACTATGTTTCCTGTTAAGAATCTTTGCACAAATTAAGAAAGGTCATTGCAGTGAATGAGGACAGTCCTTTTCAGTCCCTGGGAGTTTCTCAAAAGACAACATTATCCAGCTGGAAATCTTCCTGCCTCCCAGAAATCAACCACTACCGACTGTAGCATATGCTAGCTGAAAAATTTCTAATGAAAGATTTTCCTTTAAAACTCTTACTTACAGATATATATATAAAAAAAAAAGTGTCCAAGGAATATGGTGTTCATCAATAATAGACATGGTAGAGGGGAAGTTTTCTGACTCCTCTCCCATTTTTCCTGACAGTCTGAAGGATGGCTGGTTGAAGGACCACTTTTGAAGAAAGCATACAATCATTCTGTTGATTATTTACAGCTACAACAATTTCACTACATTCTACAGAAAACTTTATTATCTTTGACATTTGGTCATTATTCTCCAAACTCAGTCTTTCCTATAATTTCTGTATTTACCCACTTTTATTCAGTATCTGCTTTCTGTAGTGGAAACAGTTTTCAGATGTTTTGTTATGAAAACCTAACTAGTAGTTTATTTATTATATATATATTTATATATATATATGTATATATTGTTTAAATCATAAATCATACCTGCGTTTCAGTCTATTTCTATGTTCAGGTTTCCTTATGTTATTTTAAGCCAAACTGTGTTACATGACAGTAGGTCTAACACTACTGATAGTGAAAATTAATGGAAAAATATAAAACTTTCACCAGTTGAAAAAATGTAAGCCATTTACTAGTTGGTAATAAATTCATCTGAAGTACATATATCCTTTAAAAAAATCAACTTCAAATTTGAAGGTCTGACTGTTCTCATGAGAGTCATACATCTCAGAAAACCCTAGGGAAGTTCAAAATAAAAACTGGAATTTCTTGACTGATTGATAGCATGTACACATGACTGAACAAAAAATGACTGCTCTTAGTCTATGCAGGAGGATACCACATATTTGCCACATCCATGCATTCTACCTGACTCCATTAAGGGCTACTAAATCCTTTCTGATAGTTCAGAAAGACAAAGGGAATCTGCATTCTTTCTGCAGTAGACCCTTCTGCTTGAGCTGAAGCTCAACACCAGATGGCACCTGAAGGTCACACAGTGGTCTACAGACTAAAAATATAAAATTCAATTTTAGTTTGAAGAAATAATGACTACACAAAAAAGTCATTGAGTCAGCTACATACAAACTAACTGCAGAGATCTTATCAAAATCAAACTATGTCTGTGTAACGTTAACATTAAATCTGGGAGGAGAGAAAAAAACACAAACAAAAAAAAAAAGAAAGAAAAGAGAAAAACCAAAGTGTAAGCATTTTCAATATGAAGAGAATTCCAAAATTTTCTAAAAAAAAAGTCCATAAATGATAGCCATTAAAGGATACTTTCATATCTTGTTACAATTGCTCTCTTGAGGCTGTCATCACGAATAGCGGTGACTGAGAATGAATAGAAAACATCGCTGGATTTTGCCTGATATATTTTGCAATGCACCATGAAACACGTGTATTTGGGAGAAAGCTTCTTAAAAGGCACTTCTCAAGAATAAAATCTTAAGTTTGAAAAAGGAATAAATACATAGTGGTAGATCAGACCAGTAACAGCTGCCATTCTACAGATGACTTCCAGTCCCGCTACATAAACATCAGAAGACAGGTTATGCAGAATGTCTTGAAAGCTTTAAATATCATTTCTACTAGGTTAATACTTAATGTGTCTTCCAGAGAAAAGGATATCACCATCTCTGATGGCTAAAATCTAATACCCAGGTCAGGTTTCACAGCAGTGAAGAAGTAGCAGCCTCTTAAGTACACATGACTACCACCATAAAAGTTAAATACAAGTTAAAATCAATATCGAGAATTACACTTGGAAGCAAATGAAGCACTGGAAGCAAATTAAGTTTATAGAGTTCTAACTTAACGTTCACCATGCAATAAGCTCTGCAGAAAGTATACTAGGTCCCAGCCTGGAGGTGACAAAGATGTAGCTGGCGTTAGTGAACTCTATATTCAAGACAAATGGTGAAGACTCTCTGAAGACTCAAAGATAAAAGGCTGGGCACTTGACTGCTACTCCTGCTGTTCAGATAGCTACAGAGATTCCCCCCTTAAAGGGAGATGGAAAGAGATAAAAGTTGCCTCCATCCTTTTATACAACAACCACAATCTTTCAAAACCAGGTCAGTAAAATCAATATGGCAGAAAAATATTCACACAGTATTCATAAAAATGTTTTTCACAAAACTGTGGGGAACATTTCTTTCCTGCTCCAGGTGCTTGCCTTCTAACGAGCTTGGCCTCATGATCTACAACTTTGGGACAGTGTTTGCCTCAGGGTCAAGCCTTCCCTGTCTTTCCAGACCTATTCCACAGAGGGGAAACAAAATACAGAAAGAGAAAATTACTTTTTGTTCATTTTCTTTACCAAGATTAGAAACAGACTATCTTGCCCAGAGAAATCACTTTATGGGTAAGCTGGAAAAAGCCCGTACAAAACATACTGATATTGTTTGAACTCATGGTCCCATATGTGGCTACTTAGATTTGTTTTTTTTTACTAGAAAGGTAGCACATATTAAATCAAACTTCCCCCCAAAAATTAAAAATTATTAAAAAAAGACACACCAAACAAAAAAAAAAAAACTACAGAAGACAGCTAGTAACTAAAACTAAGTTATAACAAGTCTGAGAAATTCAATGTTCACCAGTTTTCTAGGAAAACATAATTAGCATGTCATCAACAGGTTACATATGTCAGAGTGAGCAATTCCATCCAACATTAGCATTTTAGCTTTCTTTGAGTGCAGGGGGAATAAAGATGGGGTGGTTTTGATCTTTCTTTTGATCTTTATAAATTTCTACTGTCTTCATCATGCTTTCTTTGTAAAGAGGAACTAATGAAAAGGAACAGAAACCCTATTCTGAATTGTATTTGATTCCCCATTTATTTCTAGAGTTTAGGAACAAGCCATGGGATGAAATTTCTGTCATATTCAAGTACCAGGCTTTGAAGGGTTGTTTCAATTGAACACGTCTTACTTTTTTGTGTTTGGTGTGTCCCATCATGTGTGCGTTCCTCTCCCCAGATACATATAATGAAAATATAGGAAGAGAACACAATAATCTAAAGACTGATTTTTAGTCATTTTCACATGTAATAGAAATAACATCATTTACTGCCAAGGGAAAAAACCACAAAATCTTACCAAAGTCTGTGTTTGGTTCCACAGCTGTTACAAGCACACACAAGGTGTTAACATCTCACTGTATATGCATGTGGGATTTCAGTCATTTAAAAAAACACCATCAGCATGTTTAAGTCGTGGCATTAAAAGCTACAAAAGTCCTACTGTTTCAAATTGTTATTAACATACTAAGGATTTGAGGAACTATGAAAAGCAATACACAAAGTCAAACAGCCTGCGTAATGGCAAAGAGGAAGCTAACAAATAAATTACTTGGGCAGGCAAAGAACAAATTCAGAGAGAGAGGTGGTAACATATTGTCAGAAGACAGCTTCAGGCAAAATAGGTGAAAATCACAAAGAAAAGACATGAAGCACAGAAAGGGAAACAAAATTGCAGAGGAGTAGCAAAAGCAAAGGCCTAATAGTTATTCTGACTAGGACAAGTTGACAGCATGCCAAAAGAATTGGGATCTAATCAGTCTGTGGGGGTGAAGACTAGAAGAAGAAGGGTCAGATAAATGGAGTATAAGAAAAAAAAGAAAAAACAACAAAAGCAACCCCCCCCCCCAAAAAAAAAAAAAAACCTCAAAGGAGCAAACTGATTTTGAAGGGAATACTACATTCCAGCCAAAAGTCTCTTGACACAGAAGGGGTGAGACTGACAATTTCTATGGATACATGACAGCTGGATTGTAATGGTTGCCTCCATTTTTGAGACAACCTGTTGAAGATACAGGACAGTGCTTGTCCATTCACAGTAAGCAGACTGTCCTGGGTTCAGCAGTAGCAGTCATGTTTTTTTCCTTTGTGTTAACTGGTGCAGTGCTGTGTTTTGACTTCTAGTTTTGAGAACAGCGTTGGTGAAGCCGATGTTTTCGGTTGTTGCTAAGTGATGTTTACCCTGACCAAGGACTTTGTGAGGCTCATGCTCTGCCAGGGAGGAGGGGAAGCTGTGAGGAAGCAGAGACGGGGCGCCTGACCCGGGCTAGCCGGGGAGGTATTCCATACCACAGCACGTCATGCCCGGGGTGGGGGGTAACTGGGAGTTGCCCGGAAGGACAGGGGCTTCCGGGTGGAACTCGTTTTCTTGGCCGGTGGTATCGTATTCTCTTCCCTTGTTATTTTCCCTTATCATTGTTTTAGCTGATAGTAGCGGTGGTGATTTGTTGCTGGACTGTTCTTGTCTCAACCCGTAGGAGTTGCACTCTCTCGATCCTCCTCCCCGTTCCTCCGGGAGCGGGGAAGGGGAGAGCCCCGGTGCAGGGAGGGGGGGGGGAGACGAACACGGACCTTGATTGTTGTCAGCTTGGCACCACTCACTGGGAGTGAGTGAACAAGTTACCTGACTGGGTTTAAACCACGACAGTTCTTTTTGGCGCCCAACGTGGGGCTCGAGGGGTTGAGATAAGAACAGATCTGACTGGATTGATAGTCACTCGTCACAATGCTGATTTATTGGCTCTCAAGGTTTTTCCTCTTGATCTCACAGTTTCAGTATACCATATCTTACGTCCATCCGGTATTGGCTGTATTAGTGTTTTTCAAGTGTGGGGCTTGGGCTAAGGTTTTTATCCCATTGTACTTTATGGTAATGACTTGTAATACAATAGAATCATTGATCATGAAACTGATCTGGTTTATGTTCCCAGTGTGGTCACCACCTTTATACTTTGGGAGGTATATGATGGAGGTGCTTAGCAATTACACATCTTTTTTCTCCTTCTCAGGTGCTCAACCTGTGAAGGAGACATCCTTTTACCCTCCTAGTCGTCCCCCCAGACCATTTACATTTGAGAGTTTTGAATTTTTTAAATGGCCTTTTAATGCTCTTGAGACTTGTTTGCTGATGGTGATGGGAATCACCATGCTAACACGCATACAGAGTGTGTTTTGCCCACTACTGATTTCAAGAGTTAAGCAGATTCAGGTTTGGGTCTTGTCTGGGGTCAAACGACGATGTAGGAGGACCGAGAGATTTTCCCAGAGGCTGGACAGCCATGAGTGGCAGGGTGTGTGGGATAGTATGGGCAAGTATCTAGGTCAGTGGGCCCCTCCAGTATTTTGGAATTTCACTACCGAACAACTGCAAAATCCAGAAGAATTAGTAAAACACTTAAATGAGGTGTGTGGTCATTCTGGCCATACCAGAGATGGACAAATCACGGCAACGTGCTGGGGCTTGGCCTATGCTTACAGGGCCTTGTTCAACACTATTCAGCACCTTCAAAAGGAAAAGAATGTCGGCGGATTTGAGGGCAAAGTGACAGTCGCTACTCAAACTTTGGCTGCAATGAACTGCGCAGCTACCCCAGTGGCAAGTACAGCAGCTGCTCAAACTTCAACTGCAACAGACAGCGCGGTTACCCCAGCTCCAAGCACGGTAGCTACACCACCCCCAGCAACAAGTACAGTCGCTACTCAAACCACAGTGATAATCACTGCAGCCAAACCAGAGGACCAATTCGTACCAATATCAGTTGCCCCTGTACGCAAGAGAACAAGCAAAAAGGAGGCAAAAAGGGTGAAGCGAGATGAAGAACCAATGAATTCACCACCCGGTCCAGAATCTGATCAGGAGTCATCCTCACATGACGAAGAAGAAGAAGAAGTAACTTCTCGACCTCGGACCTCAACCGAGCTGCGGAATATGCGAAAAGATTTTACCCGTCAACCAGGGGAGCACATCATCACCTGGTTACTCCGATGCTGGGACAATGGGGCCGATGGTCACGAACTAGAAGGTACAGAAGCCAAGCAGCTGGGATCACTTGCTAGAGAAGGGGGAATTGACAAAGCAATTGCAAGAGAGAAAAAGTCCCTCAGCCTTTGGAGGAGGCTCTTGGCAGCTGTGAAAGAAAGGTTTCCGTACAAGGACGATGTTACGAGTCGTTCGGCCAAGTGGACTACTATAGACAA